TATTTATTTATTACATTTTTATTTAGTGTGTGTATGTGTGTGGCCAGCTCAGCCCACCAGGGGGCGGGGCTGGCTGGCATGTGGTGCTGGGGGATCAAACCGCGGTCCCTGTGCTTTGCCAAGTTTGTTCCAAGTAGGTGCTTTAGACCACTGAGCCATCTCTCCAGCCCCTCCGCAGCCCTTAATAATAGCATCTTATTTACATGTTTATTTGCCATTGTTGTATTTTTTTTGAAGTATCTGTTTGTATCTTTTGCTCATTTTATAATTTATTATCAAATTTTATTTATTTTTTGTTTTTTAGGACAGGTTCTACAGGATCTTCTTGTGTAGATTGGACTTGTCGTGATCCTCCTGTTTACAGCCTCCCAAGTGCTGGGATTACAGGTATGCGCTACCACACATACTCTCAATCACCTTCTCAGTGCACCCTAGCGGCAGGGCCAGCAGGCAGGCCCAGGGATAGAACTCCTGGCCCCTGCGTCTGCGTAAGCAGGCACTTTAATCCACTGAGCTATTGGGCTGGCCCTATTATCAGACTTTAAAATTTTTTTTTATTTTAGGACAGGGTCTATAGGGTCTCACTATGTATAAGATCGGATTCATAGTGATCTGTGTTCAGCCTCCGGAGAGCTGGGATTACAGGCGTGTGCTACCACAAGTTCAGTCTCAATTGGTGTTCAGTCTCAATTAGCATTTAGTCTCAGTTGCCCTCGCAGGGGCCTGGGGGTGGGGCTGCCATGGCAGGCTGGGATCGAACTGGCCCAGCCACTGTGTCTGTCTAAGCAGGCACTTTAATCCATTGAGCTATTTGGCAGGTCCTTGGCCATTTTACCAAATTGTAAAAATTCAGGGTTGGTGAAGATAGCTCAGTGGACTAAGTGTCTGCTTAGCCAAGTGCAGGGAAGGGGGTTCCATCCTCTGTACCACTGGCCCAGCCCTTAGGCATGCTGAGCCGCCACTGAGACCAGGCCTGGTGGCTCACACCTGTAACCCCAGCACCAGGGAGGCTGGAAACAGGAGGATTGCTATGAGTTCAAGCTGCATAGTGAGATCCTGTACCAAATACATTAATTATAA